AGATGCGGATCGTCGTCGTCCTGGTCGTACGCGCACCAGAAGAACGGCCCGACGACAGACGACGTCTCGATGGCGCCAAAGGGCAGCTTGAGCGTCCTGACCATGGACATGTACTTGTCCTTGGGCAGCGAGATTGTCCTCGGCATGAAGGTGTCCTTGTGCTGGGCGTCTTTCTGGATGCTGTAGCATTTGTTCAATGTTAGCGGTTGGATGAAACTGGTGGTCATCGACACGCGCTCATAGCAGCTTTGAATAACGGACGGGAGAAAGTCGTGATATCAAAGGGGGGGTCAAGACTCACACCAGCCGAATGGCGCTCAACAGCTTGGTGCCCTCTGGCAGCTTTGGCGGTTCAAAGGCCCCCTATCCAAAAGCTTCAAGTCAGTCACACAACGACACACTCTCAAAGTGTCCCAGGGTCCAGCCCCGTTCAATGCCTCCTCATCCCATCCCATCGCATCTGCATCCTCATCAACGCCTCTCTCCATCGGCCAAGCAAAGAATAAGAAGGCAATCATCAACTCACCCTCCGATTCAGGAAATTCTCAAATTCCGACATGGGCAGCGCATGCTCCTCGACCGAGTTGTGAAGCGGATTCTGTGTAGATGCAAGTCAATCCCATGAGCCTCCATCAAATCCCCGCCATCGCCTTCCATGTCATCTCCAACCCTCGTCTTTCTTCAATCTCGAAAAGCCCAACTCACCGAGTAATTGAAAATCTCGACATAGCTCGTCCTCTCTTCGACGACGCGACACTCGTCCAGGAAGAACTTGAACATGTACTCGTCCATCTCTGCGCCGCCTCTTTCTTTGTTTCTCTTCAAATTCCCCTTTTCTTCGAACCAGAAATCCTTCTCTTCCAACCCGGCCACTGCTAAAATGAGCGCGCAACGCCAACGCCTCTTCTCAATCGCGACCGGATCAGTCCACAGCCTCGATGGAACTTTCGCAATGACAACGAGTCGTAATGAAATCAGAAACAGGCAATCCCAATGATGACCGCCGTCGTGCTGCTCAATCGAGTCCCTGCCGCTGAAATGTCCACCCAAAAAAAAAGAATCACGTACACGACACCCGCTTTGCTCGCTCGCTCGTTATGCAATGCAAATATGCACGCTTATATGATCAATCGGATGACAAATTGGCAAGATAGTCTCAAGCCGAGCATCAATTCCAATGCATCAAGCCAAAAAGTCAAGATCAACAGAAGAACAAGATACCAATACCTTGTTCCATCAAATACGACAAAACAGTAGGTACCTTAGGTAACAAAGTAACGATAGTCGCAGGACTTCTCAGCAATTCTCCACTAGGTAGGTACAAGGCGAGAGAAAAGGGGGGAAAGTCTCTCCAAAGCAGTCTCAGAAAAGCTTGTCAAAACCGATGGAAGAAAGAAAGAGAGAAAGGGTTCCAAAAGAGACAAAACCCCGATGCCCGAAAAAATTACAATTGGATGCATGTCTCGGTAACACCCCAGCCTCTCCTCTCGCAGATACCTTACCTTACCTTATGTAGCAGACAGCAACCAAGCACGCAAGCACACGCAAACAGCCAACCTACCAAAAGGTACCGCAATATGGCCTGGTAAAACCCAACCTGCATAAAGACACAAGGAAAAGCCCACACAAGAACCTACCACAACCCCCCCTCTACAATCAGTACATACTGTACTACTATTACATGTAATACCTGGGTAGAGCAATACTACTCGTAAGGATATGCCACAGCGAGAGGCAGGGGATCTGTCACAAAAACCCCACGTCAGCCAGCACCAATGCATGCCCCCCCTGTTTAGTAGGTACATACATACAAGATGCTCTCTGATGAAGAAACGATGATGGGCATGGCAAAAGCCGAAGCTAAGAAAGGCTTGTATGGTTGCCAAGGTAGTGACATGCAAGCATCTTTGCAATGCCTCTTGAAGCTTCAATTCGTCAAACTGCTAGAATCAAGCCGGCGATTCTTCACTACAAGATCAACTCCCGTCCATGTATCTGGCGTCGCATAGATAGGTACCTTCAACGTAATACTTGAAAAGACGACTTGTGAACCACAACTTCAACTTCTTCCAACAGAGAAACGAGCCTCCTCCAGATAGAAGACTCCCAAGTCAATGCCCATCAATGGGTCTCGGCGAGATCAAAGTCCCCTAATTCGCCTCCAAAACCGCTCCAAGTAAGGTACACGCCAATCTACCTAATACCGGCCTAACATTCCCACCGCCTTTTTCTGCACAACGCAACCTCTTCTCGACAAAGAAAAACGACAAAACGACGACGCAATTCGATGCCCTTCCAACCCCAATCAACCGAATCTGTTCCAAGCAAGGGGGCCCTCTGCAGTGCGCGCGCTTGCAGAGATTTTCCATGGGTCTGCCTCGCATCTCTACCTACCTTACCTACCTTACCTTACTTAGTACCAAAAGTCCACGCGCATTGACCCTTACCGTGCTCCCTCACCCTTACCACCTGTGTCCAGTATCACTTCAAGGTTAGGTAGGGTAGGTAGAGGGAGGTAGGTACATGTAGTATCAGCACCAAGACCACACACATGCAATGAGACTATCGAAATACATCACAAGACCAGTCAGGGGCAAAAGTACAAGTCATATTACTATTCTGTAGGTACGGAGTATGATGAGAAGCACATGCAAAGCACAACCTCTGGCTCAGCTCCCTCGACATCGGCACCTCCAGGTCAAAAAAGTATACAAGACCCCAAGTACCTAGATATGCGTCCCCCTTTTACTCCCCTTCTCGCCCATCATAGCCCAAGAGAAGGAACAGAAGCAGGAAAAGGGACAAACAACAACAGGGGGAAAAAAGAATAAAAGATGGATATACAGGTGCGTCGTATAGTTGGCTACCGGGCGAGACAGATTTGGCCTTGCAGCAGCAAACACAGCTCCCCTTCCTCCCCAATACACGTTTTCCGACACAGACTCCAGGTCAAAAGAGCCCCCCCATGACCGATCGAACCGCCCTTTCCATAGAGAGAGATAGAGAGAAAGAAACCCATTCTCCAATGCAGAGCCCATCACCGAGATGCAACCAAGCAAACGGCCCAGCAGCCCACCTCTTTTACATCCCAAACCCCAAAAGAAATAAAGGCAAACATGCTCCTTTTGCTTTCCACTCAGGCCACACGCTCAAAGCCTCATCGTCAGTCGTCAACGTGCCCGCGTATGCCTCGATTCGAACGTTGCTGATATACTCAAAAGTCGGGAAACAAGTTGCCATATCTGCATTGAGCGTTAGCATTTTGAAACGGCTTGCCAGAGAGAAAGAAGAAGAAAAAGCACTCACTCGTCAGGACCGCCCGGACCCCCGTACTTTTCGGGGTCCTCGGGGTATCGGTCAAACTGGCTGGCGTCGCCGGATCCTGCCTTGACCGGCGGCGTATACGGAGCATCAATGTCCTTGCGTGCCAATCGGTCCCACGTAACCTCGGCAAACCACGGGTGGTTCTTGACATCTTGTGAGCCTCCAAACAAGTTTCCCAGCCGCTTGGTCAAGTCCGCCGTGATGAGTCTCTCGAGCAGGTTCTGTGCATCCGGGTTGATGTACGCCGGGTACTTGACCTTGCCCTTGAGAATGTTTTCGTATATACGCATGGGGGAACCGCTGTCCCAGAATGGCGTGTATCCGCAGAGCATCTCGTATATCAGGATTCCGAGAGACCACCTAGAGCACGCATCAGTTTATCCGCTCATTCGACCGCACCATTGCACCAAGCCGCCACCACTCACCAGTCCACAGACTTGTTGTAGCCCTTGTTAGAGACTACTTCAGGAGCCAGATAGTCTGGTGTTCCACATAGCGTCCATGTCTTGTCGGGGACGCGCTTCGCGAAGCCAAAGTCGGTGATTTTGAGGTGCCCGTGCCGGTCCAGCAGCAGGTTTTCGGGCTTCAGGTCGCGGTAGATGATGTTTTTGGAGTGCAGGTATTCCAGAGCCAGCGTGGCCTCGGCGGCGTAGAACTTGGCGACCGGGTTAGGGAATCGCTGGTGGATGACAAGGTGGGTTAGCCAAAAAGGTCCAACAAGACGACAAATGGATATCGGGAACTCTCATACCCCGGATTTTCTCAGCAGCGAAAACAGCTCGCCACCCTCGACAAAGTCCATGACCATGTAGAGATTCTTCCAGTCCTGAAAGGTGCCCCACAGGGTGATGAGGAAGGGGTGCTTGACGTCGCTCAGCATGCGGCGCTCGTCGTTTGTGTGCTCGACCTGCTTCATCTTGACGACCTGCGCCTTCTTGAGCACCTTGACGGCGTAGAAGCGCTGGTTGTGCTTGGACTGGACCAGGTGAACGCGGCCGAAACTACCGGTGCCCAGCGTCCTCAGAATCTCAAAATCGCCGAGCGAGTACTTGCCCTTGGTGACGCGGGGCTGGGATAGCGATACGCTGTGGCCGTGGTGGATCTGCTGTTGGTGGTGGTGGTGCTGTTGTTGTTGTTGTTGTTGTTGAGGCTGATGGTGCTGCTGCTGCTGCTGAGGTTGCTGCTGTGGGGGCTGTTGCGGTGGTTGTTGTTGTTGTTGTGGTTGCTGCTCATTGGGAGGGTCCAGCTGCATCGCCGACGACATGTGATGGTGCTCCTGCTGCTGCTGCTGCTGCTGCAGCTGAGCGGCATTGGCGTCGGCCATCTGGGCGCCTACAGGAGCGGAGGGCTGGTACGACGAGGGGGGGTAGCCGTTGGCCGAGCCGGCATTCTGGGGCGAATTGATGAGGTTGCTGATGCTGGGGAGGTTCTGCGAGTCGTGGCCCGGCGCGTAGGGATGGGGAGGCTGGAGGGCGGGATTCATGGTCGGCTGGGCGGTGGGCGAGAGGGAGTGGGAGAGCTCGAGGGGGGCGGCAGAGGCGGAGGCGGGAGACAAGGCGGGAGAGGAGGAGGGCGCGGCCGTGGCCGAGAGTCGCGCGGCAGCGGGGGCAGGAGCAGGAGCAGGAGCAGAGGCTGAGGCGGAAGCGGAGGCCAAGGGCGAGGCCGAGGCTGCGGACGTCGAGAGCAGGGCGGGCGAAGCTGGCGAGAGAGACGAGGCCGGCGCAGGAGCTGGCGTCGACAGCGCGGGTGCGGAGGCGGGAATGGGGGTGGATGCGGACGGCGAGATGGAGCCAGGCGAGGCGGCGGCGGTGCGCTGGGGGGGAGGAGCGCCTAGCAGGGCGCCTGGAAAGGCGCTGTGGTTGCCGCTGCTGCTGCTGAGGCCAGCAGTGAGGTTGGTGCCTGTCGCTGTACCCGCACCAGCACCAGCACCAGCACCAGCAATGCCCGAGCCCGCGCTCGATGCGGCAGCGCCTGGAGGGCCCGAGGTAGCGGTACCAGCGCTGGCACCACCCGAGCCGGGCTTGAAGGTGATGGCTCGCGGCTGCGTCTGTTGGTGCGTCTGCGTCTGCGTCTGCTGCTGCTGCTGCTGCTGCGCCGCTGTCGAGTCGTCCCAGCTCTTCTTGGATGCGACGGGGCTGGTGGGGTGCGCTGCGCTGTGGTGGTTGCTGCTGCTGGCCTTTGCGGAGGGGTCAGAGCCGGAGCTGCCCTCCTTTGTGCGCTTCTTCTTGAGGAACGAGCCGAAGGAAGGCATTAAAGCAGGATAGCGACGGATGGATGGGATTAATTTGAGAGGGGGGGGGTTGGTTCGGGTGGGTTGTAGCAAGGCGGCGAGAAAGGCTTTTTTTTGCGGCGACGGACGGACGGTTGGGCCGGGGCAGAACAGGGAGAGAAAGGGAATGGAAGGGGAAAAAAATCCAACAAGATGGATAATGATGCAAACAAGATGAAAGCAATTGGAATTCCAGCTCAATCGAGGGGCTGGAGAGCCAAAAAGAGCAAAAGCGGGCAGCGGAACGGATGGCAATTGGGTTTGGGGACCTCTAATTAGATCCGAGCCAGGCAAACAGAAAACTGCGGAGGCTCTCTCGATTCCAGTGATGTCGCCGTGGTTGCTTGTTCTTCAAGGTGTCACTTGGGCTGCTGGCGGCGATCTGGGCTGGGGAATGATGAGATAGTACTCTGTACTGTAATAGCCCGTGTGTAGGGCCTTGAGCTGAGCCGAAATGCACTGTAACTGATCAAATACCACCCGACCGGTTGGTGCCTCGTATGCAAGATGCAGCTGTGCCGTTTTAGCTGGAGCTGGAGCTGGAGCTGGGAGGGGCGACGAAGAGGGCGGGCAACCTGGAAGCTTGCAGAGCTGGGAGAGGCGCCGTTGATTGGCAGTGCGGTGGTGCTAATGATGTCCAATGTACCTTGGCTGGAGGTATTAGGTGGTTTAAGAAGAGGGAGAGGCCGCTTGCAGTGAGTCCAAAGGCTTCAGCGTCCGAGGGGGCGTCTTGAATGATCTGCTTCAGGGGTGCCGAGGCAGATGCCGGAAGCTGGCAAAGGCGACGGGAGATGTTTCTTTCTTCGTTCTGAAGTGTACACTTCTATTGTTATTAGTGCAAGTCTTGATTCAACATTTGAGGCGAGCAAGTGTGAAAATTGCAAGGCAATCAAAGCCCGTGCAAAAGGAACCTCCGGTCCAGTCAGCATTTCGGGCGTCCAGTCTTGAATCAGCAATGCAGGGCGTCAAATGGGCGTCATTCAGGGCACACACGACACGGCACAACGCTAATAAGGAGCCCAGCTAGCTAGGTCGGGTCTGGTCAGTTGCAGCCTCAACCTCACCATCCACGTCTGTACTACCTACCGCCTTGCCTTGCCTTTACTTTAACCTTGTTCATTGCGATGAAAAGAAGCAAATTGATTGGGCAAGATGTTGCTCTTGCTGTTACTTTTGCTGTTGGTATCTACTCGTATTTTTTTTTTTAAACAACTTCAGAAGCAGCAGTCAACAACAGTTCAAACGACTGAGATGGACTTGATGCGGCAGAGCGGCTCTGGGACGGGCTGGGATCGGCTGTGGCGCTGCGAATCGAAGCAATCGATTTGGCGAGATTGGAGAATCAAAGCGTCCTGGCCTGGGCTTTGGCTGCTTCTCCTTTGCGTCTGCTTACATACCTTCTGCTTCTTCTCTCTTGTCCTTCTCCTGCTCCCAAGGTAAGGCAAGGTACTATTACTACTTATATCCCTATGTCTTCAATTGCTCCAACGTGACCCAACGAGACTCAAGGTAGGTATCGATCGAATGCCCCCCCCCTCCATCCGTCCAAGTCTCTCACGATCCAGGATCCAGTGCCCTCTTCAGCAACAACCGGCCTCCGTCCAAGACCAACGTGGTGCTCAGGCCAAGTGCTGCGCCCTACGCAATCAAATAGCTTTCGCAGAGTGGCCCCACGGCAATCCTCGGTGCGAGGTCAATACTAGCTGAAACACTGCAATTTCGCTGTCGGGTTGATGTGCTTTTGTCTCTCTTTTCTGATCGTGATGCTGTCTTTACAGTACTATTATTTGTCCTCGAGCTGAATCAAGAATGGCCGTCTTTATGTGCTGAGACACCAGACACATGGAGATGCACCAGAGTGACCGCAGCTGCATGCGTCGCGCCCTGCTTCTGACTAGGTACTAACCTACCTACATGTACCTACCTATCGACTACCTACCTAGGTAGGTAGAATCACACACAGCAGCACATAGATACAGTATAGAAGCAGCAAATCCTCGTAAGTGTCGGAGCTGAATAAGCGATCGGTAGATGTACAGTACGATGATGACGCCAGGCGTGGGAATTTGGTGCCTCCCTCCAGCCGGGACTAACGCTGCAAGATGATGATGGATGGCTCCTCGGCGAGGATCTGGGCTACTATGTAACATTGATGTTTGAATTACTATGACCAACAGCCGACTCGAGATTGAGCAGCAATTGCTATATGTATCTCGTGGCTTTGCATTTTCTCCTTATTTTGTTAACAGATTTATGAATTCATGATTTTGGCAGCGCAATTACGATCATGGCCCCCCTTTGCATTTCAATGGCTGGTTAGCAGAGTCCCGAAGCAGCCGTCGATGTAAATCACACAAGCTAAAACCCGCCACGATCCCAGGTATGCGGGGGATGTCCCTGATTCATCTTTGCGCCAGCAATCCTGTACATACATACATTTGGTAGGTCAGTAGCCTTGCAGGTTCCAACGCTGTTTAGCTGACGAGGCCAAAATATCAAAGGATCACACAATGCAGAGAGGCAAGAGTAAAGCTACCTCTAAAGTTCAAACCTTGGCGTTTCCCCTCATTCTTGTGCTTCTTGAGCGCCGTCGAAACTTTGTAATTCCGCAAGATGGAGGCTACGTCACGAAGCAGTCAAGCAATTCGAGCAAACAGACCCCGTTCAATTCATTATAGGGGCTTACCGAATTGGCATTCGACTTCCACTTCTTCCCTGGACGAAACCATCAAAAGTCAACTCCAAGTTGTTGAATGGCTTAGAAATCCAAAGTTTCGTCTTCTTCCTCATCAGACAAAACCAGATGTGCGCAACCGTACTGCATTCCTCACACCGAACTACCCTGCAACCTTCACATCACCATACATGGATGGTCAGACTAAAACCCTTTTGGACAGCTTCCTTTCCTCGAGCTCACCTTAGCTGAGGCACCTCAGGGCATATAACAAACCCTTTACACTAATAAGGTAGGTAGTATATCAGTCGGAACACCACACCGATGAACTGGTAAAAAACTTCATTTCATTGCTAGTAATGCGTTCTCGCCCATCCGCCAACCCTTCACTTCACGGAGATGCCATGTAGTGTCTTGCAAGTCCACGCCCACCCAACCCCCATGCTAGGTTAGGTAGTCAAGCAACACCCAAAGTCCCAGAAAACGCCTAGCACAGCGAAGAGCTCCTCAACAACAGAAATGCCCAGCATCCAATCCTATAAGTAGTATGCTTCTGGTGGTGGCAACGACGTCTTCCCCCTACCTCCCCATCATCTTTTGGGAAAGTGGCCAATTGTTTTCTTCTGCTTGGGTCAGTTGGCCGGGTGAGTTCCAACAGCCCTCCTCTCCTTGCCTTCTCAGAAACATCCATACATGCGCTTCACGTGCTTGTACTCAGAACCTGTGGCTCTTGGACTTTGCCCTGTACACGGTAAAGCCAACGTACGCACCGCCCGCCACGAGGATAAACAAGACAATCTTGAAAAAGAACCACGTCCAGCTTCCGCCGCTCGTTTCGACCGGAGCCTTGACCTTGTACGAGCCCTTCGGGGCTCCCTTGCCGGGGCCGCTAGCCACGGGGCTGGTGTAGAGGTTCTTGGACACGACCGAGATGATGTCGTGGTTGTCGCTCAGCTCGCCCGTCTCGGCGCTGAAGCCCAGGTACGCAATGTTGGGGATCGAGGGCGGGTTCTGCACCTCGAAGCACACCAGCCAGTCGCCGACCGTCTTGTACTGCAGCTCCAGCTTGAGGCTCTTGTCCTGGAAGTAGGTCAACCGGAGCTTGGTCGGGATGCTCGAGTGGCGGAGGCCGCGCGCCGAGCAGCCGGCCAGCTCCGTGTCCTTGCCGTCGTTGTTCTTGTCGTACGACGTCTGGCCGTCGCCAAACATGGCCATGACGTAGGGGAAGACGACGCCCGGCCGGTTGTTCTTGTACGTGTCGACAAAGATGCCCAGGCCCTCGAACTTGTCGGCGTGGCCAAAGACGGGCCCGAGCTGGCCGCGCTGCTTCGTGATCCACATGGCGAAGCCATCGCCGTACAGTGAGTTCTTGCCGTGGATCTTGAACTCAACCTCAATCTCCCAGTTGGTCGCCGTGAGGGGCACCCGTGAAAAGAGCCAGCCGTTTTGCGAGGGTCGGTCGGAGGTCAGGCGGATGTATCTGCAGCAGAGTTGAGCTTTGTGAGCCGCACAATGGGCGCGAGCGCGTGCTTGCTGGGTATACAAGTAGACATGGAAAGGGGAGGGGGGCTTCTGAACGTACGAGTCTGTCCGAATAATTGTATCGCCGCCAAAGTCAAACCATCGGCTCTGCATGTCAGAGTCCAGGTAGGGCTAAAGAGAGAAACCAAAGCAGGTTAGAAACTCGGCTCAACTTCCAGCGGTCTTCGTCTTTGCATTCCATCCTCTGCTCCTCCCCCTTCTCCTCCTGTCCCTCTCCTCGGTTTGCGACTGACTTGTTCGAGAGTGTGCGTCTTGAGCTGCGCGCAAACTCCGTTAGCTCACAGTTAAACTCGTGCGCAAACTCCTTGTCCAGATCAACCAACCGTTATGCTCCTAAAGTCCTCCTGGGCCGCCGCAGTCCACGCGAACGCCGCGGCGAGCACGGCCGACAGCGAGGAGAGCCGCATCTTGGGAGCGATTCGATCGTGACGGCAGGGATCCAATTTCCAATGGTCGGGCAGTCGGCGAGGTCGCTTGGAGAGCAGCACGGGTTCCGATATCCGAAGCCGCCTCTCTCGTCGTCGTCGTCGGGTGGGATTTGTCCGTTTGTTTTGTTCAGAGAATGTCCAGCAACGAAGCAGCAGCCAGTGAGGCAGTTCACATGGGAGGTTCCGAAAGGCCACAATTCGTGTTGAGCCCGCGACACAGTGCTAATCTTTGATAGGCCAGACTGTAGAGGCACGGAGGCGTCGCCCCTGCTAGCACTAGATTTCTGGAAGGGGGTTGCTTGTGGTACTGCTACTTTGCCAACCGTTGAGGTCTGAACCGTTGACTTGAGCCACAAAATTATCATTATTGGAGTAGCTGAAGCTTACATGATATCCTGACACTCATTCGTGCACATCAAAAGACTTATAACTTGATACTACGCCAATTGGCTTTGAAAACCAGCGTAGTGATACATTTCCAGCGAGTGAAATTTGGCTGTTCCGCGGTCATATAAAGTGCCTGTACCTCGAGCTGACAGCGGCCACGCCCGTGGTGGGGCATCGTGCACTGTGCTGTCTCAAAACATTGTTCGAGGCACGAGCTTCAATAACATTGGCATGCGATCCGTAATTGCAATGCATCTTGCCAAGCATCCAGCTCTCGATAGGAGATCTCGGGCTCTGTTACAAGTTACTCCAGTGGACTTTTGTCAATGGGTGTATTAAGGACCTGAAGCTCCAGCAAACAGTCACATGCCAGATCTTCCCCTGACAAGATGAGTATCAACATCCAACAAATCGAGCATTACCTAGTAGCATCTCTTCTAACGGCTTTGGATGTACCAGTAGTTGATTAACAGTTTCCAAGTAAGGATATAGATTTATACATCGACCTCCTCTTCAGTTCCTACTTCGGTACCTAATTCACCTTCTTCACCATCCATGCCAAATACCCCAGGTTAAGCCACCGTCTCCCCGCTAGCTCCCCAACGCCACACACCAGCCACAGCGAAATGTGCAACTCCCAGATCCTCACATGTCCGAAATCTTCAAAAGTCTCCAAACCACCACCCCAGCAATCAACCCAAAAAAACAACTATTACCAACGAACCTCCCCCGAACAAACACACCCTCCCATCCATTGACCCTACACAGCCTCCATAATGGACTCTTCATCCGTCAAGCAATCCGTCATGAAGCAGGTCCTCGCGGAAGCGAACCTCGCCAACGCCCGCGTCCTCATCGAAGTATGCAGATACCTACCTACCTACCTATAATACATCCCACCACCACATCCTCTAGCCAAACCCCCGGCATCTGTGAAATGTTACCACAAAACCAAGATGCTGACCAGCTAATCCGATCAATATAGAAACTCCAGGAAAACTGCTTCGAGAAATGCGTCCCCAAGCCCGGCACCTCCCTCTCCAGCAGCGAACAGACGTGCATGACGTCGTGCATGGAAAAGTACATGGCCGCCTGGAACCAGGTCAACGCGGCGTACATCAACCGGATACGACAGGAGCAGGCCAACAACTAAAGAATTCGCATACGAAGATATGGAAAATGGAAATTCCTGAACAGAATAATGAGATCTTGGGCGAATGAAGCAATGTTCGTGGCAAGAGATAAAGGGAAACGCAATCCCGATCTGAAGGGCGAGCCGAAACGACCAACGAATGAAGGGATGCCGTGTATGATATTGTTCGGGCTGCCGAGCATTGGGGGGGAAGAAAGGAAACGGACTGGGCGACTGTTACTGTTCCTTTGGACGAAATCATGTATTACTACCTTGTTCTTTGGTTAGAGTGGTCTTGGTGTTTGGGATGGGCTATAGACATATACACTGAATCATCCACTCCGTCATTCAACAGCCCCTCAGCCGAAGGAAACAAGAGACGTCAAAGCCGTGTATCATTCCGTTGGGTATCTACCAAGTATATCGATATGCGTGTATGTAATCATTCGCCATCCCTCACTCGCCCCCCGCCTCCGCAGCCTTTTTCTTCTCCTCCTCCGCCGCCTTCTTCCTCGCAAGATACCTCTCCCTCGCACTCATAATCTCGCTCTCCGTCTTGCGCGTCTTGGCCGCCCTCTCCAACTCCTCCCTCTTGACCTCCTGCGCCTCGCGCGACCTCTTGAGCGACGCCTCCAGCTGCTCGGCCAGCATCCGCGACTGCCGCTCCCTCATCGCCTGCTTCCGGCCAAGCTGCTTCCCCGTGAGCTCCCGCCGGTCCCGGTCTGGGGATCCCCGGCTGGCCGCCGCTTCCTCGGCTTCCTTTTGCACCGCCACCTGCTTCTTCGCGACGACGTTGAGGCCGCCCTTGAGAAGCTGCCGCTTGTCGACCACCTGGCCGTCTTCGTTGACGGAGATGGAGGCGCCCTTTTCGTTGAGCTCCTGCGCCGCTCTGGCATACTGCTTCTCCTTATCGTCGTCGTCCGCATCTCCCACATCCTCGCCATCCGCCTTCTCGCCAGGTCCTCGCTTGGCCATCTCCTCCGCCGCCCGCACCGTCTCGGCATGTCTCTCCTGCTCCCTGTCCAGCAACTTCCTGTAAAACGACGTCATGCCGGTGCCCTCATTCTTCTTGGCCTCCTCCACTTCCCTCCGCCGCTCCTCCTCTTCGATCCTCTTGTTCTCCTCCTGCTGCTTCTTGTACGCCTCCGTCACAAACTTTTCCTTGTCCGCAAACTCATCCCCTTCGGCCTCGCGCTCGCGCGCAATCTTCTTCTCCTCGGCAATCAGCTGGTCTCGCTTCCGCACGTCGGCCGCCTTCATGAGGTTCTTCATGTACTTTGGCTTCCGCTCCTCGTCCTCCTTTGACTTGTTCTTTTGCGGCTTGAGCGAGTCGTAGACGGCGTCGTACTCGTATACGCTGGCGTCCAGCTCAGTGGCTGCCTCTGCGTTCTTGCGGGAGGAGAGCGTGCTGGAGAGGTCGCCGAACATTGTGCTTGTCGGGGCTTTCGCTTTGAGCTTTGGGGGTTCGCTGATGACGCCCTTCTTTGGTCGGTGTCCCGCCGTAGATTCGAATGATGGTGGTGGTGGTGGTGCAGATGTGATGTCGTCCAGTTCGCCTCCAATCTCTTCCACCTTGGCTTCTTGGGCAGCTCCCTCGTCGTCCGAGTCATCGTCGTGGCTGCTGAACATTGGCTTGGATCTGGAAGGCATCGGCTTGGATGCGCCGGGCTTTTTTGTCAGGTTGAGCCCGAAGGCGAGCTTTGGCTTGTTCATTGTGACAGGATGGCTGTGTGATGTTGATTGGACGAGATTATGGAGCTGTCAAGTCAGTATTGGAAAGAAGAATCACCACAAGTTGTATCAGATTCCAATCAAGTCAGGAGAGGTGGTGCAATCCAGTGAGCGGCAGATGAAGATGCAGTAAAAAGATTCAACAGCTTCCAGTCTGGAGCTGCACGGCGGCGCGCTGACCGAATGCCGCTATAGACGCGCGCCAGGCGGCTCCGCATTTTCTCTCCCGTCTTCCGCTCCTCTAACCCTGGAATCTGGTAGGTATTATTACACAGGTACAGTAGGTGCTGAATTTCCATGCCACGTTTTCCACACCTCCCGGGTAAGCCAGCCTAAAGGTCCATGCTCAAAATAGGTAGCCATAGGTTAGATGACATCGTAGGAGCATCTAGACTTGTAGCCACAGACGCAGCCATTACAAAAAGACAATCTAAGCTGCAACCCCCTCTTAACCATCACCCATGAAGTACCTGCTCTTGCGCCCTCCTAACATCCATTCATCCCACCTCCCACCTCCCACCTTACCGTAGGTAGTTGTGGCGATACAAGCACAAAAGACACAGGACAGGCAAGACAAGCCATCATCTGCCATGACGTGATTGGCCGCCCCCCCCCCTCCCCCATGCTGATGTTCACCAAAAAGTCGAATAGGTAATACAATCCAACCACTGACATGTGTTAAACCCGGAACAAGACGTTACTCAGCTGGTTCAACGCAGCCAGCAGTGATAGATAGACAAACAGGTAACATGGACTAAATCTGAGACCCGAGATCCCTCAGACGTCCCCGTCACGAGGACACGGACATCAACTCAAGAACCCCTTCTTATCTATCACAACTTTTCCACCTCTCTTGCTTTCTGCTGTTCTACTATTATACCGTCTTCCTGTATAATACTCTAGATATCTTCGCAAAGTCTATTCGTATTATATACTTCCCTACCTCACCATGGAATACTGTAGCACCTGCACAGGCAGCCTCGCCTCAACGCCCCCATACTCGCAAATCCAAGCATCCTCCTCCCCATCGTCCTCCCTCCTCCCGCAGGACCGCAGAGTAGACTGCTGCTGCCGAGTCATCTGCGGCAAGTGTATACAGGTAATAACATGACCAAATGCACCTCCATCCTATCATCATCTTCTTCTTCTAAACCATAATCACAGCAAAACCCCCGCTTCGCCTCATACTGCCCCTTCTGCCAAGTCTCCTCCACCCCCTCGCCACTCCCCCAAGGCCTCCGCGATCCTCCCCAGTACTCGTCCATCCCGCCTCTCCGATCACGCACGATCCCGGCCTCAGCCCCTCCCCCGCCATACAAGTCCATAGACGACGACGACGACAGCAAATCCAACAAGAACAACAACAGCTGCAGCAGCAGTAGTAGCGAATCCTCCGACATCGACGAGAAAGCCGCCCTGGACGACGACACCCTCCACTTCCTGGACCACGACCACGACACCGTCCAGTCCCTCTCCCTCCGATACGGCGTGCCTCCCGCTGCGCTGCGCCGCAGAAACAACCTCACCAGCGACCACCTGCTCGTCGGCCGCAAGACCATCCTCATCCCCGGCGAGTTCTACAAGGGAGGCGTCAGCCTGTCGCCCCGACCCGTCGAGGGCGAGGACGAGGAGCTGCGCAAGGGCAAGATCAGGCGCTTCATGACCGCCTGCAAGGTCGCCGACTATGACTTTGCGCTGCTGTACATGGAGCAGGCTGGCTATGACATCGACGCCGCCATCACGGCCTACCTGGATGACGAGGCTTGGGAGCTGAGCCATCCCAACCAGAGGCGGAGCAACGGCGAGGCCACAAAGGTCAAGAACCGCGGCCTCTTCTGGAGGGGTTTGTGAACCCCGAGGCCGCTCTGTTTCTTATGGCGTTCACGTATCCTTTTTGGGCCTTATTTCTTTTGTAGAATGGGTGACATTAGAACTTCATATTTTTCATGTAAAACGTGCAAATCCTGCACGAGCATCATCTTGGATGCTTCCTGCCTAGCCTGGCGGGCATGTATATCATCATCCTGTATGTAACGCCATCATCCCTGAACCCTAGTATTTAGTTACACAAACACAAACATTCGTTGCCATATGTTCCGACATGGTATTAAAAACAGTAGACTCAAGCGCCAAAACCAAACACGCTTAAAAGGCAGACCGAGTTCGGATGTCCTGAGAAAGCAAATGTTAGCTTTGTGCATCTTCGTAATGGTTGGCCATGGCGGAGCCGTCTGGATTAAACTTACCGATATTTTCCGCTCAATTTCCCGGACTGAGCGGTCCAGCTCCCCTGCAATCATTTGCTTCTTGTCATTCGGAAGCAGAGCATAGCGCTCGCAAAGATCGCCGTCGATGACGCCCTTCATGGGTGCATAGTAGCTGCGATACATCAAGTGGTCTCGGCCTGCCAGAGGGGGGTCCTCGGCTCGCAGGTGCTGCTCTAGACTCTGGAAAAAGTCTGCGTCCTCTCGGGTGACAAACGGAATCAGAACGCCAATCGTGCCCATCAGTCCGCTCCACAGCAGGACTTCCTGGCCTCCAACCACCAGGCTGGTCTTGGTAATGCTCGTTGGAATATCCTGGGTGTACAGGTGGCACATCAGGTCTAGGCGATGAGAGGTTCCGTGAAGGTAACTTCTTGCGTTAAGCAGATGAAGTCCCGCTGGCTCTTCATCGGCCTCCTCACTGGCCTTTTGCGGAGCGCGCACGATGAAGATGTTGCCGAACTTGTCTCCTCCAGCGGTGGTCTCATAGTCCACCATGGTCGAGCATGTTGTCCACCTGGCAACGGTATCGTCCACAAAAGGGATGAGCTTGTTCGTTTGCTGCTTGAAGACAACGTATGTTATACCCTGCTGCACGTCGCCAACAACGATACGGCTGCCCTGCGCGTTCAGTGAGACAATCTGCTGCGGCGCCACTTCAGCTTGGGACTTTCGCAGCAGCTGTCGCATACCAAGGTCGTAAATGCGAAGCATCTTTCCAATACCGACCAACACACGCCCCTGGAAAGGTATCATGGCCATCGGGGGCTCCTCCACCTTGGTCTTGTGAATGAATACTAGACCCCTGCCATCGCGCTCGAACCGGTAGATATGGACAAAGGCGTCAGAAAAACTGCGAGGGTTCAAGACCATATCTTTACCGGTTCCAACGACCAGGAAGGTTTCGTTCTCCTGACTGGCAAATGTGACGATTGCCAGACTGACTGCGGCCTCGTTTTCCTCCAGGTCAATTCTTTGCAGAACCTGGCCATCTTCGGCCAGCGGGTCGACAACGCTGATGCATGAGGCCCAGCGTCGGTTGCCTCTGGGATGGCCAAACTCTTCGGGGGGAAGAACCTTGCTGTCGCCATTGACACGCGCTGGGTCTGCGAGCAACTGGGCGCAGAGCGCCGGAGAGAGTGTGTGATTGTCCGCCTCGATCACATAGAAAAGAGGTTGGTCCGGATGTTTCACCATCTTCTTTGGGGTATAAGTCAGAGGAATGGAGCTCTGAATCAACGTATCTCCAAGCCGGTCGACGGAGAAAATCCTAAAAATCATCAGTATTTGAAAGAACCGTGACTCTTCAACAAGCAACCAAGAAAGTGAAAGTGCCTTTCAGTAGGAACAATTGGAAAAAAATGCGTAATAAGAACCTCATAGCCCGTAGGCTTGGATCCCATTTCTTCATCATTTGGCAGGATATGAAAAAGGGGGAAGAGGAAGTACACCACATACCGTAGAGTTTGGCCCTGGATACCCACAATGCCTTCTTCGCATTGCTCGCTGGTGAAATTCCAGCCCCATTCCAGGTCGACGTAGTTGAGAGGAGTGACAACGAAAGTCTTGGTGATCGGATCAGCATATCCGAGCCACGGCCGAGAGCTGAGACCAAGAACACACGTCCGTCCCTGGACTGTGACTTGGAACAACCTCACTTGCTTCGGCCCCAAGAACTTCTGTCGTGTGTCGGTTAATTCGCCAGTAACCTCGTCCAGGACCGTCCGCAGGTAGACGCCCGAGTAGAGGCCAATGTGGAGGTAAAGCGTAGAGCCGCCTGAGGACGAGTCTTCCATGGAGATAATAGCAAGGGACGTGGGTGCCGCGGTCAGCGCTTGTACCGACTTGTTCTCTAGTGTAGACTCTGGGTCGAGACTCAGAATGCGAACTGTGCAGTCGTCACAACCAACGGCAAGGAATGAGCTTCGCAGTCTGCCTTCAGGGACCTCGCCCAGGCTCAAGCATGTAACCGTTCCAAACATCTCCTTCTTCTCGTCATACTCGGCAAGAGAACCATCATCGTCCATCTCAAAGTAGACGATTTCACCAGAGCTCAAAGCAATCGCGACTTGGTGAGCGTTGGTGGTCGCGGCCACGATAGATCGATGCTGAGGGGCATCCCACTGATTGACCTGTCCATTGCGGATATGTCTAATACCCTTGGGATGGACTTGAATCAAGCCGTCCTCGCCAAGCAGCTGGGCAGCCAGTGTGGGAACACTCGTGAGGAATCCGGAGTCGCTGACTTCCTCCACCGTCTCTCCTATACTGAGGACAAGAGTTCCGTTGGTGAAGGAGAGAACGATGTAGGCGTCGTATTGTTCGTTTCGATTCAGCTTCAGCGTCCAGACAGCAGAAGGGATTCCGGGAAGCTCGGAGGACACGATCTCATTAATCTCGAGTCCGTGCTTAAGCGTCCGGAAGGTGCTGCGAGCACCGTTGCCGCAGATAGTGTAGATCTGGGGTGCGTCTTCACCCGTCAGGTTGGCAATCTTACAGTCAAGAAGAGGGTTCATGGACGGGATGCTCTCAACGAGTACCAAGTTCTCCAGTGGTCTGGGATAGAAGTAGACAGGATCGTACGAAGCCTGTGCATCGACAGGAAAGTCGTCGCTGGTGAACTCCAGCTCCTCGTCATCATCCCCAAGCTTCTCGAACTGGTAGAAAGAAAAGTTTCCAAACTGACTGGCAACATAGAGGAAGCCGCTCTTGAGGATGCAAAGGCTCGCTGCAGGCGGAACTGTATCGAAATACTTGATCTTGAGCCTTCTGACCTCGCCGGTGGTGTTGCCTTCGTCATCCTCCACCATATCAATAGTGACCTTGAACATGTCACCGTCTTCCGTCTGTAACAGAAAGAAGAAGGCTCCTGCGCTTCCCTTGAGCTTGTGCATGACACCGGAGATGATGGTGCGCTTCCTTGACGGGTCCTCCGTTGCGCCTCGACGACGGGGGATTGGCACTCGGAAGGCTTCTTGATTGGAGTGGCGGTAGGTGATGTTTTCCTCGCCGCAAACCAGGACGCCGCTGGGGCCATCGTTGCCGCCGGGCACCTGGAATAGCAGCGAGGCTGTGGAGTCTACAGGCTCCGACCACTTCCTCACGACGTGATTGAGGCCGAGATCAAGCTCATAATAGACCAGCTGGGTTTCTAGGTCGCGCAAAGCCTCGCCCGTAGAATCTTGGTCTACCTCAGTGTAATCAATCTCCAGTGCCGCAAACACGGGATTGGCGTACCCAACGTCCAGTGCCACCATAGAAATGACCAAGACGCCAGGCTTGTGGGCCTCCAGAGGCGAGGAGATGGTGAGCTCTGCCTGAGAATTTCGATTGAGCACATAGACGAGCTTGTTCTTTTCGATAGAGGCAATCAGACACGCGCGTCCCTTGGGATCGCAAGCGAGATATTCTCCAGGAATGACTCTCCGCACGCCAGACTTCCCGAAAGTCTCCAGATGCAGCTTGCTGAACCGGTTTTCTTTCGGCAGATACTCAATGATTGTGATCCGACCAGAGTCGGTTGCCAGAATCAAGTAGTCTGCAGCATGATATTAGCACATTGCTTGTGAAGGGGGACGGATGTCCCTCTATTGGAAGTTCGTGTTGGCTTTGGTGGGGCGCGTTCTTGAGGCTCTTTTTTTCTCCTTCACCCATCACTATGTGGCACTCCAAAAAATGGGGAGCTAGGTAAAACTCACCCTTGTTGCTGCCCGCAAGGCGAAAGGCCGCCAGGGACCGGATGATACCGAAGATGTCGTGAGACAGGACGGTAATGACCTTCCCCTGCGAGGAATCAGGCCGCAGGAGAGCCAGCCGTGACCCAGCACCCGTGATGATGAGCTGCTCCTTGGTGCCCGCGAACTGACCCAGAACCGCTTGGACGACGTTGGTTGGCGGCTGGATCGTCAGCGAGTAGAGGAACATGTTGGAAGTGGTCGCCATGTTCCCGACTGGGCGCAGTCAAGCCTGCGCGGCTCTTTAGAAGCTTGATTGTGCCGATTGAGCTGCTCAGTCGCGTGTGGGAGGCGGTTGTTGTGTGTGGAAAACAGACTGGCGGAGCTTGGGAACTTGAAGCTTAAAAGTTTGGCGAAGAGGACCGGGGCCATGGAGGAACGTTAATGCGGGCAGCGGGCTGCCAGGCAGGTGGTGTGAGGGTGGTCCGAGCTCCCTGCAAATTGCGTCTGTCCAGCTCTTTTTATACATGAGGCGACGGGCATAGCGGGGGATCTCAGCAACGTCAATTCGAGTCAATCAGGCGAGACAATGGAGCCCGCGCTGCGTCGAGCGGCTCACAGCCTGTGCGGGCGCTGCTCGGCATCGCTGCGTCGGCAGATTACTGCCGGGGGAGCGCTGAGGCCGTGGGCGCAAGTGCCGATCCGGAGCGTCCATTCGTGCAAGTCGGCAGACAGCAAGCGGACGATTGCGGCATCCAAGCTGACGACGTCTGCTCGCGAATACTCTTCGGAGGCTTCTGCGGCAGGAAAGGCTGCGCCAGCTACGCTTCGGTTAAGCCAGGATGATTTGTTTCACCCCTTCTCCGAATCGCCAGTTCCCGAATTCCGGCGTCGAGCCGCCTTCATGAGACAGCATGCATACTGCCCTCACCCGGACCACAAGCATGTCAGAGCTCCGATCGATGCGTCAGCCGTCAGTGATGCCGCTCCGGCTACCGGGGGGGACATGCCTCCTGCGAATGTGGACTTTGAGTGCCCTGATTGTGGCATTGCTGTGTACTGCAGCAAAGAGCACTGGATGGATGATTATGAGAACCACTTGAAGATCTGCGATACCCTCCGGCAGATCAATGAAGACGAGCACGATCTCCGGTCTGGCAGAGTGTTCCATGAGGGTAACCTCCCCGACCTCCAGATGGAGAATGCTGCGGTCAATATGACGAACTGGGACACGTTCATGTACACTCGAGAGTTCGAAGCGGTGGACTCGGACCGATCTATGAGGCAAATCACTCGCCTCCTTACGTATCCGATTACCATCGGCAGTGTTCTCCACGAGCTGAGCCCCTACACTATCCAGAAAGGAGGACGTTTGACGGTCGAGGGACTGAAGAGCTTCAGCGGTAAGTTTAGGGAATTGCACATTGGCTTTGTGGGACAGGAAGCTAATGTGATGTGGGATTCCAGCTTTGAGATACAATCTGCACATACCAAGATCTGGACGTGGTGCTGGCGTCAACCAGCTTCGCCCGGAACCCCCACCAGTGAGGCTCTTTATTCTCGGTGCACGAGCCGAATCGTCTCTTCCGCGACCGATATGGGTGCAGCTGGCTCATCTGTTCCCCGAATCACGATTGCACCTCATCTTCATCGGACCGGAGAGCATGGCCAACCGGGATGACGAGTTCCCATTGCCTGAACGCACGCCCTCAAACCCGTTCGGTACCGTGGTGGAAGACCGGGTATGGTACAACATGAAGATAAGCACCATTGTGGATTACTACCATACCATTCACAAGACGGGCCATTTTGCGCCCTACGATCCTTACTTTGACTGCTTCGTCCTGTTCCACCCCGGACTGGGCCATCCCGCCAGCAGCCACGACTGGGAAGAAACCTTGCCCTTGCTGTTGGAGACCAAGGTGCCAATCATCAGCACAGGATATACCGAGGTCGACGTGAAGCGTGACGTCGAGTGGGTGAAGAAGAAGTCAGGAGGGGAGTTTGACATGCTGCTGGAACCTGGAGAGAACATCTTCCGGAGTCTGCGATGGGACCTTGATGACATGGACCCCCAAGATATCACCTGTGGTAACTGGGGCGTTTGGGCATTCCGAGGAAAGAGGTATGTTTTGGCGTGATATCAGTGGTGCTCGTCCATTGCAGTTGGCTGACAATCTTGACAGATACGAGACTACTACACGGGATCTCTGAAGAGGCGGAAGAGGGACGGGCCATAGTGCAGTTGAGCGTTGGTAGCTTGGGTTTTGATACTGGACGTCACGGTATAGAATGTGTAAATTATCCACGGGGAATGTACAGTTACGGTCACTGTGTGTGTAGGGGCACCTCTCCAATGTACTATATTAAAGATAAGGGGTATCGCAAAATGGAGAAGATCTTTGAGTGAGAGACAGTAAAGACTCATTTCCCATCAACTGGTGCTTTCTCCTGTCAGATTTCGCCATCAAAGACGGTATCCAGCTGCATGAGGTTGAGATACCGCTGGTGCTACATCGGCACGGCTGTCACTGCAAATGCCCTGTAAGCGATCGCTAAACGCCCTGCCTTCAGCGCCTAAGCGAGCAGCGACCGCCTGAACCCACCTACCCAGGATGCACATGTGGGGGCTCCAGCTGGGTGCTTGCGCTGTGCAGGTGCAGCAGCGTCAGACCGATCCGTTCCAGCTGCATGCGACATGCGAACCCCAGACCCGCGACCCAACAGCGGCCCAACTTAACCTCAACGACGTCCAGCCTCTTTCTGCCGCTTCCGACTTCTCTCTCTCTCTCTCCCTCTCTCTCGTCACCGCTGCTCCGCTCCGTTTCGCGCTTCTCGACCCGTCTCCGTCATCCGCCGCCTCCTCGATCCCGCCCCTTGCAGCGCGCAATGATCCTCAGACAACGCCGCTCGACTCGCCGGCCATGAATGCCGCCTCCGCTTCAGCTCCCCTCGCTCCCAGAGCCGCGGCGAGGCCCAAACAGGCGGCCGCCTCTCCGTCTCCCGATGCCGGTGCCGGTAATGTCGCAGATCGCCGGAGCAACCGTGCCGCGCCCGTTGACCCGCTGTCCGACCGGGCCACGCTGAACCTCATCCGCCGGACGCTGTGCCCGCAGCACCTGGGAGACAAGACCCGTGATGCCCAGCCCGCCCTCCAGGACCTGCTGCCGCCGCTGACGAGCCGCAACGATGTCGACCTGCAGCTTTACGCCTTCCTGGCCATCATCATGCGCGACTTTGTGCAGAGCTGGTATGGCAAGATCACCACAGACGAGACCTTTGTGCCTGAGATTCTCCGCATCATAGCACACTGCACCACGGCGCTGGAGCAGAGGTTTCGCAAACTGGACCTCGAGAGCTTGCTGCTGGATGAGATCCCAGAGCTGCTTGAGAAACATGCTACAGGCTAGTAGTGGTGTGGCGATGCCCTACGGTTTTTGGATCTGCCACTGACCGGGTCGCAGCTCGCCGCGTGGCCTCTCGCTCTGCCCTACAACCGTCCATGGATGCTGATCCCCGAGAGATCTATCACTCCATATCCCCCTTACCCTTTCTCTCCCCCGTACCTCGCCCGGACAATGGCACAGCCGTGGAGCTGCAGCGGCAGAACGAGGCGACGTATCGCCAGTTACTAGTCCAAGCCGTTTTGGCCATCCTGCTCCCGACTGAAGATCTGGAGAATCCTTGTCTGACGGCTCTCGTGGAGCAGATCCTGTCCGAGCTCATCATCGGCAATGTGATTGCGGGCAAAGCATCCCAGCCATGGTTGCTCTATGAGGCTATCTGCATATCCGCAAGGTCATTGGGTGAGCAGAAAGCCAGAACAAAGGCAAGGATCGTGACTGGGACGGAACAACCATCGCCATCTTCATCGGACCTTGGCCAGGATGCGGCCAAGTCGCCCAAGTGGACGGTTCACGGGGTGTTTGTCTTGCTCATTCACTTGGGCATTCTCTTCTTCAATGCAGTCAGGTTCATGGCGGGTATATTGGCGGATTCTATATCCCTGCCGCCTAGAACGGCGCTTCATCTCGATGAGGAAGCCGCAGACTACGTTCACGACGACAAACGACGACTACTAACTACGGATACGAACCTCGGCCGCGCCAAAGTACCAGTACTTTCCTTCAAGCTCTGGTCATGTCTTGGAAACCTGATTGAGCTGGAACAGCGGAAGCCCTGGCTGGGCGGCTTCATATCGCTACTACGGACGGCGGCCATTCATGGGCCATGGCGCATTGCGGGGCTTGATGGCCCTCTTGACAGGTAAGATGGGCAAATTTCCTTGTCTTATTGCTGGAGTGTCTTGGCTTCATAAACTTCCCCCGAGCCCCTTCACTTCACACCCCTGGTCATCTGTCGAATTTGCTCGTCATCTCGCATCTCCTTTCAGTCACTGGACCTCCTTCACCCCCCCTGGCCTCCAGCGAGTGAACGTCCAGAGCAGGGTTTCTTTCTGGATGGGCCCTGACTTAGTCGGATGCCGTGTCTCCATGACATGTTACAAGTTACATTCTGCGCGCACTCTTGCCCCGGAGCAACGCCGCTGGGAGTCTATCTAGTAGATAGGTACTCCCGTTCATCGAGAGGTTTCAATATGGCGAATGGCCATCCACACAAGGTTGTGAGAACCGGCGCAAATTGCAAGGCCACGGCCACACCACACGAGCAATGCTAGATCTGGGCTGCTAGCTCCTTGGCCGGCCAGCCAATCGAAGCGCGGGAATCGCCTCTTCGTCTCCGATTGCTCGAAATTGTTGCGCCAACCTGGACCACAACAGAACAGCCCGTCCATCGAGAAGCCTTCATTACGCGCCGGCCTTCCACAATGAGGGGTGAAGGCAATCAGCTACACGGCCGAAGCGGGCCAGGGCCCTAGCCGGCTACCTAGTTTCCCACGACGAGGTGGTGTTGGATGAGCAGTCCGTCTGAACTCACATCACCCGCCCGCCCCGTGCCGCGCCACCTCCAAGGAAGCCATCTGCTGTCCGTTGGGCCGATTTTCCCCAAAGCAGTCAAGGTCTCATGGTGCCTGAGCGTGTCGATTCTTCTCGTCACACGGATAGAGGAAGATCCCGCCTCTGCTAGCGACTTGATCCACCGCGCGTGGCGCTCGACGAGTTGATCCCACGGCCGCCGAAGGAACGCGAGTCACCTGCTTCTCTTCCCTCGCCGCCTCGTTGAGGAAGCTGAGGTTTGCTGCGTCAATGGCTTGAGGAATCACACGCATTCGGCCTGTAAGAAACGAACGGCCCTTGACGCGAAGGCGCGCTTATGCAAGGCGGCCCTCGGGGACGACCCGCGAGCCTCCTTCGCCTCCGTCCTCGCAAACGACCGGACTTCTCCTGGCCTTGCCGCATTATCTGACCGACGTGGAGCGCGACACATCGCTTTCCCCCCCCCCTGATGCCCAATGGCAGTCTCCTGCCGCACTATCAGGACACCCAGCGGACACACATCGGAGACGGTCCTCCTTTTGTCTTCCCCGCACGCGCAAGACTCTTGTCTGGCCATTCAAATCCAGTCAACATGAACACTATGGACCATGGGCCGCATCAAGAGCCTTTCTACCTCGCTGGCCTTGACCTTGGTTCATGATCACATGTACCTCGTCCGCCACCCCTGAAGAGACCGGAACCCGGGTTATCCTTGACAGACGTCGTCTCTTTTGGCGAACTAATTGCCAACAAATGGCTCTTATGCTAACCCTTCTCTCCCAACGTCTCTTTATCCTCCTTACCCACCACATAGCATCCACCGCCCCTCCCCTTCTGAATCTCGCTTTCCTTCCCCACCTACAACGGGCGGAGCAGATGGGAAAATCCCCTCCGTCCTCTCCTTCTGATTCAGGGCTCATTGTTTTTTTCTCTTGCTATCTGATGGGACTAACCAAGCTAACTAATGGCCCTTTTGCTTCCGCCGTCGGCTTCTACAGACTCCTTTCGCACCATATCCAAGCCGTCTTCGACGCCTCTCATCTGCCGCCCATCCTTCGGTCGCTCCGAGGCGCCTTGTTTCCCAACAACAGCCTCGGCACGTCCACGCTGGTACCTCCCCAGTCGGAGGAGGAGCTGCGCGCTCTTCGCCGCAGGGCCGCTGGCGCCATTCTGGGCCTGCTCCCCGCAAGCGTTGCCCGCGTGTACTTTGGGCGTCGGCTTTGGCGCTTGGGCGGGTTGTTTGACCCTGGCGAGGACGTCGGATCGTCGTCTGGCGCGGCTGATGGGCAGGACGGAGACGAGAGCATAGTGGATGAGATCGAGGGGCTGCTTGATGTTGTTGGTGATGAGTATTGCAACAAGCATCTGATGTACAGCGCTTTGGAGCTGCTGCTCGTGAGGCTGATGCCCGAGCTAAGCGAGAAGGGTGTTGTGGAGCTATGGGAAGAGAGACTTGGCTAAGTCTCCTGAGTACCTGCGGAGGAATATACCGTACATACAGCTTCACTGAGTGAGGTCCTTCGGACTACTAGCTGGGGTTTAGATAGACAGAGCTCTTCCTCTGAGCATCTTTCGAGTACATGAGATACTGTACCAGTAGATAAGGCATCGCCATAAGTACATCTTCGTAACGTATCAGAGCTTCAGTCTGTTTAAACCCCCCTCCCCCTTTTCTAGGCCCGCGTCTAGGCAAACACCTGCTCCTTGAACATCCTCCACTTTGAATGGTAACCCCATCGAAAGTGTAGTTGTACCCGGTACATGCTCTCACTTAAACACACGCAAGACATGATCCCCAAAGCAAGGCCCATATAAAGACGGGGATTAGCCCGTACTAACATAAAATGAGAAAGAATGTAGATGCCGAGGAAAATTATGTCCCCATGTAGGATCCCCCCTGTTACCCCGAGACCCTCTTTTGGTCACTCTCCCGTCGTGTATCCGTCCATGGACGAAGGGAAAAGAAGACCACGAAGACATGTATTGACAGGTACTCCGTATTGTAACACCTTGAGGGAGTGAAACAGAAGAGGCGAAAATCGCATGCTTCTCCGCGAGGAGTGTGGTGCCGAAATCAAGGCCCTTGTAGATGATTGTTTTTTTTTCGAACTCGTCTTGTTGTTCCCTTGTTCCTATTCCGATACCCTCCCATCCTCCAATATGACATTGATCACAGTACAATAAGGGAAACACATAGATGGGGAACTGTTATAACCCAAGGAGAAGCTAATGAAAATCAAGAAGCTGTGCGAAGCTGTAGTAGAACCGCATAATGCTGATTCTTTCACTGTATGGAGTAGGTGCCTGATCAACCTAGAGGAAATTATTCTTCTCTCTCTGTTTCAGTACCAGATGAAGCCTGGGTTCCACGTCGGCCCCGAAGTAGAAAAGAAAAAGACGCAATGAAAAGGCAAGGAGCTGGTAAAGTAAAACTCAACGCTGTAAGCATGCTCAAGAGATTTGCGTGAAGCAGTGTGCAATGCCTTTCGTGGCCGGTGATGCGCTCAGGATGACAATAAGGCAAGAAAGAAAAGGAAGAAGAAGAAGAGAAAAATAAAAGGAGCAAATCATCGCGCTGGTTCCAGAAGGGAGCCAGGTAGAATCTTGAAACGAGTGGTTGAGAAGCAATGAAAACAGATTTGATGCTGGTAGATCTGTTGCCAGATGAAGTCGCCTTTCTCTTTTAGTTGTAACCCCTTTTCCATCCATTCCAGTTGGTCTCCAGCGTGAGGCGCCGCCTTCGCACGTGAGATATGGTAGTGAGAGCCTCTTCAATGCTTCGAAAGGAACCGCGTCACCACGCGCTGCGACCTCATGGCAGGTCTCTTCCTTTCTCCAGCGTAGGTCTAGGTACCCATTGTTGCCGTCTTCCCACCAATGTTTGTTTATATGTTTGATCCAGGATTGCTCCAGGAGACCCGTAACGCCGATGAGGAGAAAAGCAAAAAGAAAATAAAGGAAACAAAGATGAATAATGACAGAAGAGAGAAGGCAGAAAGCAATAGACATTCGCAATGATCATCAACTCGAACAATGACTCAAAAAGGTAGGTGGCCGAGGGACTGCGTGAGATCGGCAGCATCTTCATCGTACTTCTGACATGGCTGCCTCGGCCAGCGATTGAACTTCCCCATCATCACCTTCAGGGATCCTCGACAGTCCTCCTATGGAGGGTCGCGTACTTTGATGTTGATGTAATTGTAATTTCTTTGTGAGCTGAACAATGGTGGCATATTCGCTCTTGTCGAACGGACCGTTTGGCGTCATGCTATGAAGATAGCTTAGCAGCGTTTCCGCGGCACGCCTTGCATCCTCTGGCGTGGGAGACGTTGGCGAAGAGTCAGCAGTATTGGATGATACCGAGCTTGGATTCGTGGAAGGATTGTTTGATCGCGCAATCATACTCGAGTTGCTGCTGCTGCGACGTAAAGCTGGCGGCGATGATACTGTGGTATCCAGGGTGAAGGTAGTACTCCGAACGTCGTTTGTAGGCGACCCAAGCGCTGAAGATGATGTAACGCCAGAGGTGTTTCGAGGAGTCAGTGGTCCGGCACTCGTATCTTGGTGAACACAATCGATATTCAGGGAAGGGAAAGTATTGCTCCTCTTCCCATGGTGCTGGAACTCAGAGACTGCTGCTGGTTGTATGTGGAGACTGTTTTGGAATGTCCCAAGATTGGGATCGGGCGAGAAGTGGAAAGGCGCGGTTGGGCTCATCGTGCCGCCCGCAAATGAAACGCTTGGGTCTCTCAAATCGCCTGCCAGCGAGGTAGAGGAGTGCGACCCAGAATGTCCGTACTGGAATTGGAAATCATGGCCGTCGGCTTGTATGTCATCGTCACTTCGGCTTGCTGAAAGGGGCGAGAGCTGCTGAGTTGGGGAGATGGGAGAAATGGTAGCCGTCGTCTTATCCCCAGGGAAGTGTGCAATAGCTGTGGACATGGTAATGCGGTCTGGGATGTTTGTCTCTGAGGCTCGACGCATGAGCCGACCAGCCCCTATACCGTGTTTTTGCTTGAATTTGAGAAGCCAGTTGCTGTTGATGTTAGTCAAGCTCCTGTCCTGGCCGCCACTGGCGCGAGCGAAGAGCCTTGCTTGCTCGATTATTTCCTCGTCCTTGACTTCGAACCCGCGTTGCTGCTGTCGGCGAACGTAGTTGCTGAGCGTCCGATCAAAGTCCGGGTGTTTCCCCTTCAGCCGCTTGAGAGCTGAACTATCTGGCTCTGGATCTTGCTTCAGGTATTGATCTTTGTGCCTCAATACTTTGGAGACGGTGCTTGGCACAGGTGTTAGCTTGTCCCGACGCGGATAGGGGAGGATGACCGAAGTGATG